CAAAATTCATACTATTGCTGTTACTATTAATAAAGATATTGCCATATTAAGTATATTTGGACCTGATCTGGTAGGAGTTGAATTCTAACAGTGGTTGATATTTCATCAATCCCTTTCTGTTCTGGTTTCTTTATGGATACTTTCCTGATTATATTTTGCAGATCAGCTGCTTATTTCTCAACTACTGTAAGACTGCCATAATCGCATAGTGACACTGTTTCAAATCCTTTTAAAATATACGCTTTTCTAGAATCTCACTCAACCTTATAAATGGTCCTATGAATGTTTTCTTTCTTGCTTAAGTGTTACTATGTCGTCTTAAATTTTTGTGATTATGGACTTAGACCAGCAAACTACTGAATACCTGAAGTTTTTTCCTGAAGTAACTTCAGAGAAGTTAAAGGATTAATTCCTCCAAAAGGTTTAGCTTGAAATACGTTGTTCTTTTGAAATCAAGATAACTGGTACCAGAGTTGATAACACATACCTGTGGAACTGCTTGTACAAGACTATTTTAAATTATCTTAGTGTGTAGCAATATTGTGACTATTTTTGTGTGCATACTGACATAGCATCATTAACTTTGCATGATTAATACGAGATTCACAGGGGTGAAGTAACAGGAAGACTTACTATTGAAGTTATCAGGACCAGGAAAAATGTGGTTGTTCTTGGGTTTTGAGTGGGTTTTGCTGGGTGCATTTGGGATTTTCTAATTGGTTTTGTTTTTTTGATTGTTTCCCACTGTCCCTATCTTCTCCCTGACCCTAAATTTTATAAGGAACACTTGCTGCTTATATCTCATCCTTTCTTTCTAGTATCTGCTTCCTTAGTGTAAGTTATGTAAGGATTATCCAAAGATATAAAACCCTACTGAATTATTCTAAATTGGTAAAATAAATGTTCTAATAAATGTATACTAACAAATTTTAATACAAAGGAAGAGAGATAGATGTTAACTTGTTCATCTTATTTGGCTTTAATAAGTCAGTGAGTTACACAGTATCTTTATAGAGTGAAATTCTAGGCCTGAAAAAAAGAAAAAAATATAAGACTCCCATTAACAGCCACTTGTCCAGACAATGATAGCGAGTCTAACATGCTGGGGAAAATCAAAAGCTTGAAAGTGTAGGAAAAACAATTATAATAGGATATTTAAATTGCTTTCATGTAAATTTGGTAAGTATCATGTCAAACCATGATCCCAAGAGTAAACTTTTAGATGCTGTCAGGTTGTGTTACAGATCAATTGATCAAAGAATCTGCAAGAAAAGGTAATGCAGAGGACCTGGTATATAATGATTGTTAGTGAACAGGTCTTTATTACTATGAGTGTAATATATCTACATTCAGCGAGTTCCTAAAATCTGAGAAAGGCACAAGTGCTGTGTTTAGTTTTTAAAAAGAGACTCTATGTAAATTTAAGGGTGGATTTTTGAGAAAAAGCTAGAAAGATCACCTAAGAATAGTTAAATCTTGAAGGGAGATGTGGAAATTATACTAGAATCAAAGATTGTGTGCACAGAGATTTAAGGTGGACTGAACCGAAGCTAGAATGACTAAATTGTGGGGTTGGAAAAAAACAACAAAAAAAAACCCCAACAAAAACAAAAGGGAGGTTGAGAATCAAGGATGCATCTTTCAGAAAATGAGTAAAATGACTAGTGAGAAATGGAAACAAAACAAACAAAAAAAAAACAGCAAACCAAAACAAACACATTATTCCAGCACCTGAAATATAAAAATGCAATTAGGCAAGCAAAAAACCAAAAGATTATAACTTACACACAGCAGAAAAACTGTTAATGAGTCCTTTTAACGTATAACAGCAGCAGAAAGTGTACAAGTCCAATAGATGATTGCTATATAAAATAAACAGTTGGAGAGGATGAAGTATACATCTGGTTCATCCTTGGGAACACACAGGTTGGTTCAGTATGGAGGAACCTGGGAAATACCCACTAGAAGCCCCTCTGGACTTTAGGATGCATATTTCATCTACTGTTGAAGTATCTGATAGAATTCAATGTGTTTTATTAAGTTATGTGCATTGTGAAAATAAACCCAAATTTTATATATATATGATGGATTTTAAGATCGCTGTTACATTAAGGAATGAGATCTAGGAGCTGTGGTAGATTATTCCACTAAAATGCTGCCTTGGTGCTTAGTAACCATCAACAAAGTAAATCACATTTTAATAATTACTTAGGAAAGAGACAAAGATCAAATTCAGAGACAAGGCTCTGCTGTTCTTCCTGAAAAATCTCAAGAATGTTAAGGACATCTCTTCCACTTCTACTCTATCTTTTTATAATATGTGAACATCACACAGTGTACAAGACTTACTTATGTAATGCTAAAGCTTTGTAAGAGATCAAAATTCACTGGAACAGTTGATGGCATACTTCCTTTTTAAAATGTTTTAAATAATTAGTGTTGGTTTATTTTCACAAGTTCAAGTATTATTACTTTATACTTACTACATTATACTGCAACTCTTTTTCTCCCAAAAAGTCTCTACCAGTAGTCACCCCTGTGTCTGCCTGCAATGAAACTTGCACATGTTCAAGCACTTTTTGTCTTGAATGCCAGCACTTCAGCTGTGACAGTAGAGAACAGAGCTCAGCGCAGACTAACCTGTTTTACTCAACTTTTCAGATAGCTTTGAACTAACTTAGGTTGGATCCTTTTATAGATGCTACTACTATCTCAGCTGTATCTGCACTACACTGAAAAAATGTCTCATAGTTAAAAGGAGATGAATTTAGATGTGGTACTGGATTACTTCATAATCCCAACTATGATTAAAGTAACCATTAATTTCAGTGATGCATTTAAACCTCTTGGCTGCCATAATTTCCTTCTGGGTAATGTTTTCCTGAGTAGTGACACTATCCCAAACACTGAGTAATCCAAGTAGCAAATATTTTAATTACTGATATCTTCTTAGCTGTTTTTCTGCTCTGCATATGTATATATACAGTGATGAGTGCTGTTCCTTGGTGGTCAGTGTTGGAACTGGTGATGTTTGACATCTTTGCTGGCAACATGGACAGTGGGACTGAGTGCTGCCTCAGCAAATTTGCTGATGACACCGAGCTGTGTGGTGCAGCCAACAGGCTGGAGGGAAGGGATGCCATCCAGAAGGACCTCATCAGGCTTGAGAGGTGGCCCTGTGCAAATCTCATGAAGTTCAACAAGGCCAAGTGCAAGGTCCTGTACATGGGTTGTGTCAGTCCCAAACACAAATACAGGCTGGGAATTAGTGGATTGAGAGCAGCCCTGAGGAGAAGGACTTGGGGGTGTTGGTTGACAAGCTCAACATGACCTAGCGATGTGCAGTTGCAGCCCAGAAAGCCAACTGTATCCTGGGCTGCGTCAAGAGAAATGTGGCTAGAAGGTCAAGGGAGGTGATTCTCCCCCTCTACTCTGCTCTCTTGAGACCCTACCTGAAGTGCTGTTTTCAGGTCTGGGGACTGCATCATAAGGACATAGAACTGCTCAATCAGGTCTGGATCTGGGACATGAAGATGATCAGGGGGCTGGAGCACCTCCCCTATGAGGACAGGCTGAGAGAGTTGGGGTTGTTCAGCCTGGAGAAGAGGAGGCTCCAGGGAGACCTGATAGTGGCCTTCCAGTGCTCAAAGGGGGCTACAGGAAAGGTGGGGAGGGACTCTTGGTCAGGGGGTGTAGTGGTAGGATGAGGGGTAGTGGTTTTGAACTGAAAGAGGGAAGAGTTAGATTAGACCTAAGGAAGAAATTCTTCCTGTGCGGGTGGTGAGACGCTGGCCCAGGGTGCCCAGAGCAGCTGTGGCTGCCCCCTCCCTGGAAGGGTTCCAGGCCAGGCTGGACGGGGCTGGGAGCAACCTGGGCTGGGGGAAGGGGTCCCTGCCCGTGGCAGGGGGGTTGGAGATAGATGATCTTTAAGGTCCCTTCCAACCCAAACCGTTTTATTATGTCTGTAAGCTTCATATCTATTTCTCAGAATAATTTTTATTGTTTAAAAATTAAATATTTATTGGTGAGATTAATATTAAAAGCGGAGAGTTGTGCTAATGTCATTTAAATTTCTTATGTGCTGGGAAAGATTTTTATAAATGTTTGTATATATGTCATATATAGATATTCTTCTTTAATAGATCTTCCTGTTAACCACACTATTTTCAGTTGTGAAATATTAATAAGGCTGACTTGTAATCTTTAAATTTACTTGGTGTTTTGTAGTACACTCATAAATGAACTGTTTGTATTAAAAAATTCATAGCAAAGTTTGCTGAGGATTTTCTATCAATTTTTATTCCAGGTTTTTATGTGTTTTGTTTTTTTTATTAATGAGACAAATCTTGAAACTAATGTAAATATCCAGGAATCTACTAATAATTATCACTTTACATTTTCAGTATGTTGTATTATAGTTAAGTAAAGGCTTTATCTGGCAACAAGTCTAATTTGTTTACAGTAAACATTATCAAAATTCACATTAGCAGCCTATGAAAACAGATTTCAGTAAAGTGAAAACCATTTAATACTTAACAAAATACAGAAAAGCTGCTTAACCTAGTCTTTGTTATGCTCCAGTCTTTCTAACTGCATATTCTACTTCCAACTGTTCTGTTTTTTTCCTTTGTCCCCTTAATCTGCTGCAGGCCAAGGTGTAGACGGTGTTGAACCAGAAGATGAGCTTTTTAATTATAAATAAGTTTTTAATTATAAATAAGTTGTTCCCTTTCTTAAACTGAGGAAATGTATCTACTGTTTGACTCTTGTTCACAACACTGACCTCAGGATGGATGGGCTGTATGACCTGTCAGTGACTGAACTTTACTGATGAATATAGCCATATAATCTGATTGGACTTTTTCAGCGTAAACATGATAAAACTGTCTAGGTAAAGCCTAAAAGAAATAGGGGTAGGAAAAGTGGCAGCAAAGTTGACTTTTATATGTTTACTTATTAAGTAGATTAAAGCCTTTATATGCTTTGGTTTTATTTTGAAGGGTCCATCTTGCTGGGATGATGTGCTAGTTCCCAACAGAATCAGAGGTGTTTGCCAGTCCCAGAGCTGCAATGGAAACATAGCGGTAAGATTTTGTCATGTTTCTCCAAATACTGTGGTACTTAAGAGTAACTGTTTGTAGCACTTCCAACCATATTAGAATTGTAGAAATTAATGTAAATTGACATGTATGGTATACTTCAAAAGAGCTGTTCAGCATCAGATCATATATTTCTGATGTTTAGCAAAAGGGAGTAATTTGGTCAGTTGCTGCTTGGAACGAAGGAGGAAATGATTTTATGTCATCTCTTTCACTGAAGTAGGACTCTTAGATATTCAAGTATGCATAGGTTAAATACAGAATGCAGTTCTTAAATGTTTATGACAATGCTTATTTTATAATTATTGTATATATAACAGTGTCCTGAAATCTTCAAATTTCTATGTAATCTTGCATATCAGATCTTTCATATCAGATTTTCAGGCTTTTTTCCACAGAAGCAGATTCTTCACTTGATTACTTTACAATCTGTTCTCCCACATGTTCATCACTGCTGTTTACTTAAGTGTTTCTTGAAATCATGTCAATTAAAAGCCTGACTAAGAAGCAGTATAGACATCTCAAATTCCTAATGAAGATTTTTTCAAAACGTTATTCATGTGTACTTACATCTTTTCATGTGTTACATATTGTTCAATGGTATTTAATACTAAAGAGGTCTTAGAGGTATTTCCTTCTCAGGAAAAAGCTTAATTTGAGGTGTTCATTCTGGACATAGTTTTTAAAGACAAACACAAAACTTTGTACATATGAAAGGATACTATTCATTAAAGATTTGCAGATTGGGACAACATAAGTGATTTTCTTCAGAGGCAATCACCTGCTCTGGTACAGTTGTCTCTGTCTTCCCTAGCAAGACAGTTGTGAAGTGGTATGTCCATGAGGTTCCATAGGTGTCTCCTACTTGGCCACAGATGGTGTCAGGAAATATTTTATCTAACTTTTGACACCAAACTTGTTTTAACAGCACAGGATTTATGGCTGTCTCCATGCACAGCCAGCAGAAACTGATGTTTCGCAGCTGTTGGGCTTCTGTTCCTTGGTGTGTTCCTTGTAGTAGTGGCACAACCACTCTCTGGAAAGTGGCAGGTATTAGAAATTCATGTACTATTCTCTCAGCAGTACTGCACTCTGGTGTAAAAGAAAGCACCACTTTGCCTCTGGGCAGATTGGCTGTAGTTTGCCTGTTTTTATGCTTCAGGAACTACTGTAGTTGTAAGAGTTGACTGTGGCTTCCGCTCCCTGTTTGTTGTCAATGTGCTGCTACCATCATTGGGGAGAAGTCCTTCCTGTTTTCCCTTCTTTCTTTAAAGATGATACAGGAAAATAAAAAAGATAAAACTTGCTTTTGTCAAGGTCAGGAGTCTCATTGGTAGGTATACTGCTTGAGCTCTCATGTACAAAAGCATGTGATCTAGATTCTCGGTCTTGTCACCTCTTGGGACTCGCAGAACATATCTGACTGAGCTGCAGCTACCAATTTATAGCTTTTGTTATCCAATCTGTCTGTGAAAAAGGTGCTGAAATAATGCGACTTTTGGCAACCCTGCCACCTGAGCTACAACACATCACATCATTGAATCAATTATTTAAAAAAAAAAAAAAAAAAAGAGGCAGAAAATGGAACAGCACACCATCCTGATTTTGGGGCTCAGGGGAAACAAGAAAAAACCAAACAAACAATCTCCAAAACCTTAAAAAAACAACCATCAACCACACACCCCCCCCAAAAGAAAAAAAAAAAAAAAAAGAAAAAGAAAACAAAACCCAAAACAAACAAACAAAAAAAATTACCAACCATAAGACTAAAATCTTAACTGATGAATGCTGTGGCAACCAACCAATGCTTAGTCAGCTAAGTCCTATGATTCTAGTTGCTGTCAGTGCCTCTGGCAAGTTGCATATTTAGCAGATCAATGTTACCTTTCAGTAAGGCATCACTGTACAAAAGTCAGGAGACATCCTAATTTAGGCAGACATATTGCAAATGCACCTTGCGACCACCCGGACTACAGGCATGAGGCTGCTGTTGGAAGAATGTGCTATTCCTTTATTTCTAATTTGAAACATTTTCCCTTTCTACCAGATACAAATCACTCTATACAATGGTGTTAGAACTAAACCAGACTGGATGCAACAACAATCCTTCTTTTTATGATCTTGAGCAAGAATTGGCAGCAATATCAAGCTAGTCAAGAAAAATGGTCATTAAAAAACAATCAAATTCACTTATATACCTACCCAGTACATAGCCCTGCAGCAGATCTCTGAATTAGTGACTTGTTGAGGTCCTGTAGTCCCTGAAAGGCATCCTAGTTGTGTTTTGGAGTGGAGTTTTTTTCAGCCTCAGTCACTGTGAAAATACATCTTTACTTTCTGGGAAATCTTCTACTCCAAAAGCTTAAATCAGAGAGCCTTTTATTCTGTGTCTTGCCCAGAGTTGGAAACAATACAGATTATACAGGTGTGTCTCCAGGGATTTGTCACTTTTTCCTGCTCTTGTAAAACAGTCTAACTGTTTGGAAAAGAGGAAAAAATAACCTTAACTAATTCATAGGTTGAAACCTCTAAGCTTTTTTTTGGCTATTACAATCTTTGGGAGATTAAGTCACATTTTATGATTAAGTATTCATTTTTGCATGTCATGACAGAGTTTGTGGAATTATATTTTGTCTGTCTTAAATAGCTCCACAGTGTACATGCTCCTTTACAGTGATGGGCAATGAAAAAGCTTTGAGACTGTTAGTTGTCAATAATCAACAAAATGCAGATAATGATGTTTAAGCAAAGAAAAAAAGTTTATTCTATCATTCCTCCCCCAAGACATAACTGTTTTGCTTTAATAGTCTTTTATCACTTTCCACTTCTTATGAACACCAGTTTGCAACATACCTACAACAGGCAGTGTGTGTTTTCCCAAAATACTAATTTGTATGTATTTTGTTATAACATTAGTCTTATTCCAGAAATTAGACTTTAATTCTTTCAGGTGGAAATATTAAAATAAAGTATTTGATGATATTAGAAAGCAATAGAAATCAAATTTCATTTTAGTTAAATAAAACTTATAAATGATTGCCAAAAGATGTAATTAAAATCTTAATGATAAATACATTGTCATTCAATATGTGTTATTATAACACATGAGTTCACAGATATGAAATGTATCAGATTAATTTTTGTAGGTTTGTTTGACATAAACTAAATTGAATTTAGAGCAGATCATATGAAAATCTATGTGCTTTATTTGTGATTCCAGCTACTACTGAGCTTTGAGTGAAACCCAAAGTAAGTATTTTGTGATTTGTTATTGTCCATAATTAAGAGCAATAAATATAAAAGTTGCAACTGTTGAAATATAAATGTTGTAATTGTAACATCTTAAAATATGACTGATTGCTGACTGAAAAATTAGAGAACCTGAAACATTGGATATTAGTCCCCTGTGCTGCCTGGGGAACTTCCCCACAGTTTCTCTTCATGTTCTTTTTCAGTTAGAGGCTGTTACCCCATACCCTTGGGTAATAGGCTCTTGAGAAGTTGTACGCTCTAGCCAGAAATAAAAAAGATTACAAACACAGTTGAAAATGGGGTCTAAACGGAGAATATGGATCTTTAAAAGTAATAAGCAGTGTCTCTTTCAGATATATAATGTTAGGTTACTTCATGAAAAACAAATGAATAGTCTGGTGTTTTGAGAAACAGTGAACAAAATACACAGAGTATCCAAAGCAGAACTCGGTGCTGTTTTTCACGTTAATTGCAGTTTATCAGAAATAATACATTCACTCTGAACTTCTACAGCTCTGAGAGGATGAAGGTGGTGTGGACGCTTATGCTACTGCAAATGTAGAACACTCAATTCACTTTTATAACAAATCAAGTATATTAATCAGAAAATGGCAAAGTTTACTTTAGCTGATTGACACATTTTAAATGAGGATCAGAGTGGATTCTTCAAAACTGTTTCTCAAACCAGGACCATTCCCTAGATGAGGTGGAAACTTTAAACTTTTGGTGACTGTCCTAAAACACTTTCAGCCACAAGCACTGTATGTAGTTGTGCAGGTAGACACACTAAAAAAATGATTGAATGCACCAGCGGTGCTTCAGGCTCTGGGGTTTCAGATGTATTTGCTTTTTTTTTTTTCCAAGTTATTTTTCTTGTAATTCTTTGTATTCTGTGAGAAAGGCAACCCAAAGGCTGTGGACACAGACATGGTTCTCTGAAATTCTAGATATTGCTTTCACATGAGCATAGTAGTTACAGCATAGAACCCAAGAATCATTTAGGTTGGAAAAGACTTTTAAGATCATGGAGTCCAACTGTAAACCTAACATTGCCAAGCCTACCACTAAACTATGTCCTTAAGCACCACATCTGCAGGTCTTTTAAATACTTCCGGGGAAGACAACTCCACCACTTCCCTGGGCAGACTGTTCCAATGCTTTCAGTTAAGAAATTCTTCCTAATGTCCAGTCTTAACCCTCACTGGGGGCAACTTTAGGCTGTTTCTGCTTGTCCTATCACTTCTTGGAAAAAGAGACTGACATCTACCTTACTACAACCTGTGAATAGCTTGAACTGATTTTTTTAATGTCACTTAGCTAGATAACCAATCCTCATTAAGGAGGAAACAGTTAGCACTCTGTTTCTGTCAGGCAGTGTATTCTTTGATTAAAAACATTCCCAAAGGGCTGTGTAACCAAAGAACAAAGATTACTGCCAGGTTTAAAGAAAGGAGTCTGGTGAACAAGCTCCTATTTTTCTTTAAGATGACAGAAATTAACTTTTTTATGAACCCAGCTCTCCTATTTAGTTCAAAAGTGATCCAGTGCTGTATCTGAAATAATGATTCAAAGGTTTTTTGTTTTTTTTTTTTTTTGTTTGTTTGTTTTTTTTTTTCCCCAGTATTTCTTTAATATTTGTAAGACTTTCAAATAATCTTGGAACTGTTTTGTATAATTTTGTCCAAATAAATGACTAAACCGTGATAGTGAGATCACAGTAAATTTTCCAAGAA